CGCCGTCCCCCGCCGACGTCGGCCGGCCCCAGCTGGATATAAGTGTGGCTCACAAACCGCGCTGGCGGTCTCCCCGCGCGTGTCCCTACTCGCTCCGGCCTCTGTGTGGGGTAAGTAGGTGGTTACTCCCCCCCCGGTCCAGCCCTGGGGTACCCTTCTAACCCCAGTGTCCCTGGGACAAGGTAAGATATCGATATACTATCTGCGAGGCATGGGGCACGGTAAGGGATGGTTGGAGCCATGCATCCATCCTTATGTAGCCCATAAGGCTTAGGGTGTTCCCTTGAGGCACCTACTTAGAGCAGGTCCCAGTAAGGGGTCCAAGTACCTACAGGGTTTAGTCAGGTCCATTAGGATCATGACTGAGCTGAAGCTCAAGGGCAGCCTCCCTATCTATTATTTTTTCCAATAAGACATGGTGGCAGGTGAGAAGAGAAGGTGTCTGCAGGGCGAAGCTGGCATGGTCACAGGGCTCTAGGGGTATCACAGCCATCTCTAGGGACCCTACTCTGTGACAAAGTGAAGTTTCCTCGAAATCCCCGCACCTATCTCCTTGAACCTTGGCAGGCTTCATGGCCTCAGCAGGGGCTACCATGCCTGCTGTTTTCAGCCCAATCTGCCTTAACACATGCGCACGCGCGTGTGCGCGCGCGCACACACACACACACACACACACGTGTACGTGTGACATGAGTTTTGCTTGTCAGCACCTTGAGGTCAAGTTTCCCAGAAACCCCTGCACCTATCTCCTTGACACTTGACAGGCTTTATGCCCTCTGAAGGGGCTACCATTCCTGAAATTTTCATCAGAATCAGGCAGGAAATGACAAAGTTATAGGCATTTTAGTCATTCCCCATTATAGCCTATGGCCAAAACACCGAAACAGCATCAAACTTGAAACAGTTTTGGCTGAAACGGCGATTTGAAACGCCAAAATGAATCGCCGTCCTGTGGAAAAGCTGAGTCCGAAACTGAAATGAAACTCAGGCATTTCACGCAGCCCTAGTAATCAGGTCTTGGCACACAACTGAAAAGTGTTCCACACCATTTATGGGCTTCAAGGCCTGGCATAGGGGCAAATAAGAATAAGAAATTTGTGTGTGCAGAGACAATAACAAAAAATTCTCCTGAGGATCCAGTATGTGGTGACAGCACTTTTATACCACTGTAGGCATTCACTACAATGGTCAGAACAGTGAATCTGCATTCATCAAATTAGTTACCTACTAAACATTAAGCAATCTAGATCAGTCATATCAAAGACTAGACACCTGAACAAACAAGGGAACTCTTATGTTATTGGGTGGCTGTTACTGCTCTGGGGTAAACTCATTCAACCATTTCAATCTCTTTAAAAAAAAACAAACAAACAAAGTTCAGTGGGTTTCTTCCCTCCCCCCCCGCCCTAAAATTCTGCAGCCACTACTGGTCACCTCAGCTCTGCAGCCCAATCCTTCCCCACCTTACAATGCTTGGTTCAAAATCCTATAAAATGGCATTGGCATTAACAGAAACGGATCCAAAAATCCTTTTAGAAGCAGCTGCTCAATCTTGTCATAATTGTCCTCTTTATCTTAATCCTCATTTAGATGTGGCTGTCTTGAAAAGTTGCATACATTCAATGATGACAGGAGAAATTAATTTGCATAAGCTTCCATGCATTTGTAATTACCAACATGGAAAACTGTTTTGTCCACACTGGCCTATTAACTTTTAAAAAGGTTCTCCCTTATCTAAGAACAGGTGGATCAGGGAATGGTTGGCAGAATCATGGGAGCTTGAGTTTGACCCTTGAATACAAGAAGACTCCTGCTAAGTAGTCTACAATGTACCATGGGAACAATCTCACAATGTGAAAAGCCTGATAAAAGGCACAAAAGCAGGAGAGCATAATCTGAAGAAAATCCCATTCATGAGAAAACAACAGCTTGTAGAGAAGTCTGCTGTTAGTCTGTACAAAGTTACTGCATGACAGCTACTATGAAGCAGTTGCAACAAAAAGTCTCTTCCCCCACACACAGACAAACGTATTAGTTTAAATGTACTAATACTGACCTAGTGCAAGCTTCCTGTGTAAACAAAGTCTTAATAGCAGGTTTAAGGTAAATCAAAGCATGGCCAAAAGAGGATTTGCTCCAATTTAGCGAATCAAGTAAAAAGTTTGTTTGTTGATAAGATCTAAGAGACACTGAAAAGAACCAATGGCAGTTTTCATCTTTTTTTCCACCATTGAAAAGAATGTAATAACTTCAAAAGTTCTGTTTAAAAATGCACACTTAAACTGGATTTCTGGTGCTATAACTCCCCCCCCCCCCACACCCCAAGCTAGATATAATCTTGTAGATAGACATAATGGTATTTTCAATATCTACAGATGGAATCTCAGTAACAGCAAAAGAGCTTCAACTGGAGAAATGAAAAGTGAATAGAACACATTCTTTTTTCAATGCTGTACTTACAGAAGTAGTTTTTTCCCATAGAAAAAAAAGATTTTGTAACAGATGTGTCACTAAAACCCACAGCATAAATCTTGATGTTCTGACCTTGCTCTGAAAGTGAATTCTGTTTCCCTCCTTCCACATCTCTGTCTGAAGAGTTTGTCCTGGAATGACTGGTTTTGCAAAACGGACCTAAAATAAGAAAAGGTTCAGATTTCCTTTATTTTCAAATAAAAATGTTAGATCAATACCACTGCTTCTAACTGGATAACCAGTTTAGAACATAAAATTTATTGAAGTAGGAAAAAACCCCAAACAAATGCCTGTACAGAAAGCATATCTTCATCAATGCAAATTAACTAGCAATATTTATAAAAAGAAACAGCCATTAAAATATATAAGACATTGAGTATATGGCAAATGAGATGCTGTGTCACGGTTGACTGCGTAGTTTTGCTAAGAGGTTAGACAATGTATTTTATAAGATGGTTTGGATAAGGATGATCCTGCCTTGGGCAGACGGTGGGAGTAGGGGCACCCATGCATGAGCGCAGAGGCTGCTCCGACACACTGGAATTTCAGTGCATTGGAACAGACTGGATTAAGCAATTGCCATGCTCCTGCAGCCTCCTGCATGTCCTGTATCAGTGTCCCTGTGCTTAAGAATGGCGGTGAGGTTGCTTGAACCCCTGCCACCATTTTTAAGCATGGGGACACTGATACAGGAGATGCAGCAGTACTTTACTACGATATGCATTTGTAGGAAGAAACTAATGGTCCTTTTCCACCCTACAGAAATGTAATTAATAAGAAGCAACATATAAACTGAAAGGTTATAACAGAAAATCAATTACAAGTGACAAACCTACAGACCTTAACCGCCTTGAATTTAGTGACATCATTATTTGCAAAGTGCTTCAAAACATGTCTGGTAGCAAACCCAAAAGAACACAGTCCATGCAATATGGGCTTCTGAAATCCTACAAACAGACAGACAGAAAAGAAAAACAACACAATGTTTTGGATTTTGTATCCAAGTTTGCCTTTTGCTTAAGGACTCTGCATTTAATCTAAAAAGAAAAAGCTATTGGAGCATAAAGTTTCAATTGGATACATGCACTGGAAGCTGAAAAGGATTTCACCAAGATAGCCTTTTTCATCATTTAATAATTATATTATAGCAATACAGGGACTCCCAATGAAGATTGGGATTCCCCAGTGGCATGTATTACATTAAGAGACACAGGCAGATATGATCCCTATTCTGAAGAGATGACAGATTTAAAAAGTAATGAGACTATCAAAAACTATATGCTTCTTTTAAAATGTGTATATGCATATGTGTGTATGCATGACTATTAAAGCAGGACTAGTAGTAAGGCTGCCCAGCAGTTCTCAATATAAAACACCTTTTTTAGAGCCACTTGTAACTGTCAGATTTTCCATGTTGTTCAGCCTGAAGCTGAATCTCTTTATTATAATTTTGCCCCAAAAAGTTGTTATTTCTATTTCCTCTGCACATTTATGAAAGTAAAAGAGTCTTTTATAATACATACAGAAAACTAAAAAAGAGGGCATAACCTTGTCCAAAGCAAATTCATTATGAAAACAAACACCCCCAAAAAACCCACTTGCTGATTTTTTCCAATGATTTTCTTGCTTGCTTAAGTATGCATTATACTTACTCAAATAAAAGACAATCCTGATTACAGGAACCACCCCCACAATAATTAGATTCTAATATGGAAAATATGTAAATTGGTTATAACTTTCCAGGTATAAAATCTAATTATTGGAGGTTTGCCTTGAATTTACTCCCTTCCTACTGTTACAGCAAAGAAAATAAATCTGGGGGTTCTCTGCTTCTTCTGAACTTTTGCCCCTGGCAGCCCCTTCCCTTCTCCTTACCACCAGACCCTGCTCTCTCTGAGCACATGGAAGCGAGGAGCAAATCTGAAAACAATAACCTTAAAATTAAAAATGGCTGTAGCAATTTGCATCTAGTAGCCACACACTTAGTTTATCCAGAATAGATGCATGTTACATTTTTTTTTTTTAAATGGCTGCAAGTTTTAGCACAGGTTCACCAAAAACACACTTTTGAGCAGCACTTTGGCACCTACTTATATGGCAAACTATTTTGATTGGAACTGGGTGTTCTTGTTCTAAGTCCTGGAATGCTCAAAAAATGTATATACAGATGAGGCACAGGGCAACCTGGTCCAGCTTCACCTCACACAGAACGAGGCCACACTAATCATATGTAACAGGCTGAGAGGGCCTGACAGAGGGATCCTGGGTAAACCATATGCAATGTTGGGGGGCTCACCATGACTTGAAAAAGAGTCAGCGGTGAGGGGGACAGTGCTTGATAGCTACAATTATAAGTCTTATTCAGATGGGCTATATTAACCTATTCTTGTGATAGGTTCTCATCAGCATGTTTGCCCAATGTGGGCCATGTGTTTTATAATCACGTTCAGTATTGGTTGCATGTAATCAACTACATGGTTAGTTTTCATTGCTGAGTACATGCTGCTTTCCATAGCAATTAAAATTGTTTGAGTTGACTAAAAATACTCATCTTATAACACAAACTCTGTAATTAAATGGCCCTGTGCAAAATGGCCTCTCTCACAGGCTGTAGTGACATTTAATTGTGAATATTGGTTAAGTAATATCAATGTATCCAGAGCTGTAGAGTTAGCTTTCATTTCTCTTTTTTTAACATGTTGAGATTACAGGCAGGTACTGAAGGTAGTCTAGGGAAGGTTTATATAAAGGAACAGGATGGGGAAGAGGGGTTAGTATTACTACAGGGAGAATGCTAATATTCACATAGATTCACTCTAGGTATCTTTAGTCCATTTGTCATGGTATAGAAACTAAGCAATTTCTAACACATCTTCCTTACCAATTTTTATGTAGCAGGA